AAAATAAAACTACAATGTGTAAAATAATAATTATAAGATATTTTTAATCATCAGTAATTGTGTACTTGATACAATACAATTTTGTTTTAATCATTAAAACTTTCCAAGGGAGCACACAATAAGTTGGGCACTTCCAAGGGAGCCCAAAACGGCACAAGGGGCACAATGGCCCAATCCTGTAATCCCAGGTAGAGGCAGGAAGATCAAAAGTTTAAAGTCATCTTTAGATACAGAGCTAGTTTGAGGCCAACTTGGGTTATATGAAACTCTATCTCAAAAAAGTGAATAAACAAAACAAAATAAAAATGGCATGAACCTATTAAAGTTAATGAATCCAAGAAGAAATAACAAAAACAAGGATAATAAAAATCAACTCCACAGATGATCATATGCCAGAGAAAACATATATAAATATATAATATGTTCATTTATATATTTACATGTATATATTTAAATACATAATATACAGTCATCATATTTTATTTCAAAAATCTCAAAATATTAGTAATTATAAGAACATCATAGTGCAACATTCTAAAGTTTTATTTTTTGTTTCATTTATTACCTTTGTGTGTGCATGTGCTCTCAGAGACCACAAAAAGTTGTCAAATCCCATGGATCTGGAATCAAAGGTCTTTGTGAGCCCTCTGATATAAATGAGTGCTGTGAACTAAACACCAGTCCTTAGAAGAGCTTCAAGAACTCTTAGTTATAGCTATCTCTCTAGAGTAAACAGACATTTCTCTCTTGCCTGCCAGTTGGCATATAACCAACTCAGATGCTGAATGTGAATTATAAAGGCTTGGTTTATGTCTCAGGCTTGTTATTAGCTAACTATTTCAGTTAAATTAACCCATATTTCTTACCTATGCTTTGCCACTTGGTTTGGTCCCTTTCCTCAGTCCAGTGTGCCCATATTGTTTCTCTGAATCTGCTGGCAACTCTCTGATTCTGCCCTCCTCATCCCAGAATTCTTCTAGTTTGGCTTTCCCACCTATCCTGCATGGCTACAGGTTAGTCTTACTCTTTATTAAACCAGTAACAGCAACATATATTCACACAGTGTAAAGGAATATTACACAGAACTCTAGCCACCCAGGACAAAATTTTAATGAGAATTTTAAAAGATATAAATAAAGGAAAATGATATGTGTTTGTGAAGGATAAGACGTAATGCAAAAGTTCCTCTTTTACCAAAAATCCATCCACATGTAGCCCCAAAATAACAGTGTTATTTTACAAGTCAACACAGAAATCCTTAAGTTAATCAAGAAAATTAATTCATCAGTAGGAAATAAAATTGAAGAGAATAACCAAAAACAGTAGATTTCAAGAAAAGAATTGTACTCTGTATGTTTACATGCATGCACGTGCGAGTGTCTGTGTATGTAACAGTAAAGTGTCATATGCTGATGACTCACCATATAACAAAAGATGTACAAGCGACCCAATAAACTCTACCAGGGAACTTCTACAGCTGACAAACACCTTCAGCAAACTAGCAGGATACAAGATAAACTCAAAAAAAAAATCAGTAGCCCTACTTTGTTCAGACAACAAAGAGACAGAGAAAGAAATCAGAAAAACATCACCCTTTACAATAGCCACAAGCAACAAAAAGTATCTTGGTTAACACTTACCAAACAAGTAAAAGACCTATATAATAAGACCTTTGTGGCTCTAAAGAAAGGAATTAAAGAAGATACCAGAAAATGGAAAGATCTCCCATGCTCTTGGATAGGTAGGATAAACATAGTAAAAATGGCAATCTTGCCAAAAGCAATCTACAGATTCAATGAAATCCCCATTAAATCCCACACAATTCTTCACCGACCTTGAAATGATAATAACTTTATATGGAAAAACAAAAGACCCAGGAGAGCCAAAACAGCCCTGTACAATAAAAGAACCTCAGGAGGCATCACCATTCCTGACTTTAAGCTCTACTACAGAGCTATAGTTCTGAAAACAGCCTGGTACTGGCACAAAAAATAGACAGGTAGACCAATGGAATCGAATTGAAAATCCTGATATTAACCCACACACCTATGAACACCTGATTTTCGACAAAACAGCTAAAATTATACAATGGGGCAAGGACAGCATCTTCAACAAATGGTGCTGGCACAATTGGATGAGGGTGTGTAGAAGACTGCAGATAGACCCATGTCTGTTGCCATGTACAAAACTCAAGTGCAAATGGATTAAAGACATCAACATCAATCCAGGCACACTGAACCTCTAAGAAGAGAAAGTAGGAGGTACCCTTGAAAAATTGGTATAGGAGAACGCTTCCTAAACATAACTACAGAGGCACAGACACTGAGAGCAATATTTAATAAATGGGACCTCTTCAAACTTAGAAGCTTCTGTAAGGCAAAGGACACAGTGGACAAGACCAAATGGCAGCCCACAGACTGGGAAAAGATTTTCACCAATCCTTTATCTGACAAAGGGCTAATCTCCAAAATATACAAAGAACTCAAGAAACTAGTCAACAAAACACCAAATAACCCTATTAAAAATGGGGTACAGAACTGAAGTAAGAATTCTCAATAGAAGAAATTAAAAAAAGACTGAAAGACACTTAAGAAAATGCTCCACATCCTTAGCTATCAGGGAAATGCAAATCAAAACAACTTTGAGATTCCATCTTACTCCTGCCAGAATGGCTAATATTAAAAACACCAGTGATGACTCATGCTGGAGAGGATGTGGAGAAAGGGGAACACTCCTCCACTGCTGGTGGGAGTGCAAACTCATACAGCCATTTTGGAGATCAGTATGGCGGTTCCTCGGGAAAATGGGAATTAGTTTACCACAGGACCTGGCAATCCCCCTCTTAGGCATATACCCAAATGATCCACATCCATGCAACAAAGACATCTGTTCAACTATGTTCATAGCAGCACTATTTGTAATAGCAATAACCTGAAAGCAACCTAAATGCCCCTCAATTGAAGAATGGTTAATGAAGATGTGGCACATCTACACAATGGAATACTACTCTGCAGAAAAAATAATGGTATCTTGAAATTCACAGGCAAGTGGATGGCACTTGAGGAAGCCATCCTGAATGAGGTAACCCAGTCACAAAAAGAGAAACATGGTATATACTCACTCATATATGGATTTTAGACATAGAGCAAAGGATTACCAGCCTATAATTCACACCACCAGAGGAACTAGGATACAAGGTGTATTCTAAGAGAGTCATATAAAGTCCATCACAGAACCAGGAAGGGATAAGTCCCACAGGGCACAGGGGAAGTGTGGGGGGGCAGCAAATGGAGAGAGAAGTAGGAGAAAACAAGGGGGAGGAAAGGAAAACATGTGCGACCAGGAAGATTGAGCCTGGTTAGGAATAGAAGACAGGAAAGAGAGAGAGAGAGACAGAGACAGAGACAGAGAGAGAACATAAAAGAGGGAGCCAATATTGGTTTGAAGATAAAATTGGACACAAAGAAAGGTCTAGAGAACTACAAGACTGCTCCCAACTAACAATTTGAGCATCCGTGGAAAGGCCCTTCCCGGACAGTGAGATCAACAACTAACTTATCCATGGAGCCCTCAACTAATGTCTGTTGGAAACAGGAGCAAACACCCATACATAAACACTGAGTCGAACTAGAACCCAGATGCAGATGGAGAGGACAAGACCAGGCGGCAAAAACACATAGAGACAGCTTACCTGAACAAGGAGGAGATAACGGGCCACCAGACTGATAGCTGGGAAGCCAGCATGGTACTGACTCAGGCCCCCCTGAATATGGGTCTCAGCCAGAAGGACTGAGCAGTCTAAGGGACCTCATACAGTGGAGCCAGGATGTATCCCTGGTGCACAAAAGGTCCTTTGGAACACATCCCCCATGGAGAGATAACTGCCTTAATCTAGAGACAGGGGAGAAGCCCTAGTCCCTACTTCACAGGACCTGTCAGATCTACATGACCCCAACTGGATGGCATTCCCCTACATATGGAACTGGGATGGGGGGATGGGATGGGAGGGTGTTTAGAGTGCATGTGAGAGGGCAGAGAGGGTAAAATGGAGGGAGGGAAGGAGGGAGGGAGGGCTAGAGGGGAGGGAGGGAGGGAGAGGGAACTGGGATCGACATGTAAAATAATAAATTAAATAAAAAAAATGCTTTGACTCCAAAATTTAAGTTCAAGGACAAGTTACTTGGGAAAAGGATTTCTATTTTTGTTTCCACAGAAAATGATAAGCTGCGCATTCCTTCCAGACTAATGTGGTTTGATCAAGCCAGTCCGCCTGAAACAGAGTACCAGGTGATCCTACATTCAAAACAGCCTTACAGACTACAGCCAGGATTTCTGAATCTTCTTCGAATTCCCCATGACAGCGCCCCTTACCAGCAGGAAGTAGTTTGGAAAGAACAACGCCCAAATTGCCAAATATTGTCTATAAATGTTTGTTTTCATTTAAATGGACTTGGTTATATAAAATAAATAAATAAATAAAATATAAAAAAAACAAAAAACAAAAGATGTACAATAATCACTTGAACTTTATTAGAGCAGAACCCATGCTTAACTAGTCATAATCAATTTGTTTACATACTTCTCATTAATAGCAAAATCAATTCCATGTAAATTAGTTGTGCTATAAACCAAAAAGTTAATCATTAAAATTAATAGCCATTCAGAAACAAATATTACTTAAAAAATTGAGGAAAGAATAATATTCAATGATTGTTTCTTGTTTGGATAAAGGAATATAAATATAAATGTTTTAAAGTTTATATTAGTAAATTAAGTGGATATTTCACAGCATGTAAAACCTCCGAACAGAAATTGGGGGGAATTTGGGTTCTTCTGAACCTACTGGATTTTTTTCTAAAGGGCTTATTTAGAATTCACTATGTTCAAAAGACCACATTATTGGTGAGAACTATTCAGTTTCCTTCAGTCTAGATAACCACAGTCTTTTTCTGTCTCCCCTTAATCCACAGGCAGATGCAAAGAACAAGACATCCCATGATATGGGTACCACCCTGCATGCAACCAACAGCTCAGAGTCCCCAGTGTCTGAGTTCATCTTTCTGGGGTTCCCAGGCATTCATGAATGGCAGCATTGGTTCTCCTTGCCCTTGGCTCTGCTTTACCTTGTAGCTCTCAGTGCTAATCTCATCTTGATTACCATCTACAGCGAGCTGGCCTGTATCAGCCAATGTATCAGTTCCTTGGTATCTTAGCTGCAGTAGATATTGGGTTGGCTACCACCAGCATGCCCAAGATCCTGGCAATCCTGTGGTTTAATTCCAAGACTATCGGTCTCCCTGAGTATTTGGCTCAGAACTATGCTATCCACTCTTTTATGTGCATGGAGTCAGGCATTTTCCTGTGCATGGCAGTGGATAGATATGTAGCCATTTGTTTTCCCCTTCAATATCCTTCCCTAGTCACTGAAGCTTTTGTAATCAAAGTCACACTATTCATGCTTCTGAGGAATGGCCTGTTAACCATCCCTGTGCTAGCTGCCCAGAGACAATACTGCTCCAGGAATAAAATTGATCACCGCCTGTGCTCTAACCTGGGGGTCACTAGTCTGGCTTGTGATGATATCACTGTTAACAAGTTCTAACAATTGTCTTTAGCATGGCTTGTGGTTGGAAGTGACATGATTCTGGTCTCTGCTTCCTATGCTTTGATTATTCACACAGGGCTGAGGCTGAATTCCATTGAAGCAATAGCTAAGGCCATCAGTACCTGCAGTTCCCACCTCATCCTCATTCTGTTTTACTACACAGCTATTATTTTAGTATCTGTCACTCGTTTAGCAGGAAGAAAGGTTCCTCTCAACCCTGTTCTCCTCAATGTGCTGCATATTGTCATCCCCCCACATCACTTAACCCCATGGTATATGCTCTTAGGACACAAGAGCTGAGGGTAGGCTTCCAGAAGGTGTTAGGCTTGAGTGAGCTTATGTCTAGGAAGTAAACTGACTATATATGACAGAATACCAAATGTAGTATTGCAGGAAAAAGAAAGCATAGACTTTGAGCCCAAAATACCTTGTGAAATTTCCATCTCTCCCAATTTCCAGGGGCATCAACTCATACTCACTTACTTTGGATAGTACATGGCATGTACAAAGTATTGCTGTACAGTTTAGACAAAGCCTTAAGCAAATTGTATATTATTGAGCTCACATAATAAGGAAGTAGACATTATATTCATACTGGCAAATAAAGGTCAAAAAGTATTTAGAACAGAGGTTATGGAGTGACTATACTTGAGATCCAGCCCCACCATCTGTTTTGTATGGCCTATGAGCTAAGAATGGTCTCTGTATTTCTCAGTGGTTTTAAAAATCACATTTCATGATACGTGAAAGTCCTATGAAATTCAGATTTGAGTGTCTATAAATAAAAAACTCATTGGAACACACACACACACAAAAATAAAATACTGCTGGAAGCTTTTTGTAGTGTTAATTCTCACCTCCTGAGACATCCTGTGATAGAAATATAGTACTTTGTAAGTTCTGCAGATGTGGACAATGAAGAGAGAAACTATACCAAAAGAGAATAGAATGTTACAGTGTGAGATTTGAACCCAGATAATCTCCAGAGTCTCTGATATTAATCCTTTCTCTCCATTCACCTCATTTCTAATTTTTAAAAAGGAGGCTAAGATATTTAAAACTATATACTATTCATTTTTAGTAAAATTCAATTTAGAGCATCACAGATGAACAGTGGCAATAGAGTATATATGCAGCTCTACAACCAGCAAGTACAGGAAGATGGGAACTGGAGAGATGATTCAGCATTTAAAAGCATTTGTCACATTGTAGGGGACCAGACTTGACTCCCAGCACCCACATAGTGGCACACAACTGTCTTTAACTCCAGTCCCAAGAGATCTGATGTTCTCTTCCGGTTTCCTCGGCCATGCATTTGGTACCCAGAAATACATACAGATAAAAAATAAAACAAAAAAAAAAACCAAACAAACAAAAACAAAACTCCTATAGAAAACATAATAAAATTAATTAATCTAAAATATTTTGGAAGAAAAAGAAGAGAAAGATTCCCATGGCTATAATTTGACTGTGGAACAGATGGTGATCCAGTTCAAGTATCCTGCAGTCAATCAGGAGTGTGACTATTCAGTTCATATGACTGAGGTTCAATTACATACTCTGGTAGATACTTTTGTGGAAGCATTTGAAGAGGGTTCAACAGCCATGCTAATCACATGACAAAACTTGGACTGAGAAAGCTTGCCAAACAGTAAAATAAAATTTCAAGGAAATTATCACTGTCCATGCACCCTCACAAAGCAAAAAACCAAACTCATAACATATTCTTCAAGGCAAGTCTAAAGTGAAGTGAAACCAGAGGTTTGTTTGTTTGTTCTTTTTAATTTTTATTTATTCTCTCATATAAACATCTCAATTGCATCCTACCCTCCCTCCACTCCTTCCAGCCCACACCTACCTCCCCACTCCCTCAGATCTATGGATCCTCTGTTTCCCTTCAGCAAAAAACAAAGCCCAGAAGGTTTTTTTTTTTAATAATTGCTCACATTTAAGACACAAAAACATTACTGTGGAAAACTGATTTGTCTCTTTCTTTGTGAAGATGAAATGGTTCAATTTCTATATTGTCTTTTGCCAAATATAGCATTACAGAACAAAACCTTAAAGAGTAATCTTTAGAAATGTGAAGATATGGATGTAGCCATGGTCTCTGGTCTTTGATTCTTGAGGAAAGCCAGGGAGTCAGCAGCAATTTTCTTATCTAACAAAAAATACAGTAATTTTTAAATCTGCTCCAAGAAGTCACTCTAGACAACTTTTTAATAATAGTTTGACAGGGGTTACTTTTTCAGTTTACAAATTCTTGAAATAATTTGCCTTGGAGCTCTTCAAACAGTAAAGCAAAAATATTTTAAAAATAAAATATTTAAGGCCCTCATCGCTGGGCCTCTGCCAGAGGCCAGCCTATTCCTACAGGACAACCCTAACTCTCCGCCTGCCTGATATTTGACCCCAATCACAGGGACTCTGCTGGAAACCTGTCTGTCCATGTGGGACCACCCTGAGTACCTGCCTGCCTGATCTTTTGCCCCCGTTGCCAGCTTAAGAGCTTGGACCACCCAGAGCTACAGACATCAGTCTTCTGACCCAACTATGCCCACCGGGAGAGTAGCATCGAGAGAAAGAAACTCCACCTGGACCCACTGGAAAAAGCAAAGGGAAGATGGCAATACAAGAAAAGACCTAACAATAGAAAGACAAGCATGACACCACCAGAATCTAGGAATGCTATGACAACTAGACCTGAACACCCCAAAGCAAATGAAACAGAACAACTTAAAAAATAACTTCATAAAAATGATAGAGGGCCTCAATGATGATATGAGAAAATCTCTTAAAGAAAGGAAAGAAAAATCAAACAAAAAAATTGGAAGAAATGAACAAATTTCTTAAAGAAAGTAAGGATAGCCAAGAAAAAACAATCAAATGGGTGAAGGAAACAGTTCAAGACTTGAAAACTGAAATAGAGACAATAAAGAAAACACAAACTGAGGGAATGCTAGAAATAGAAAAACTGGGCAAATGATCAAGAACTACATATGCAAGCATAACCAACAGATTACAAGAAATGGAAGACAGAATCTCAGGAACTGAAAATAAACTAGAGGAAATAGATTGATTGACCAAAGAAAATCATAAATCCAACAAATCTTTAAGACATAACTTCCTGGAAATGGGAGATACTGTGAAAAGGCCAAACCTAAGAAGAATAGGCATAGAAGAAGGCAAAGAAAACATATTCAACAAAAGCATTAAAGAAAACTTTTCCAATCTGAAGAAGGACATGCCAATAAAAGTACAAAAAGCATACAGAACACCAATTAGACTGGACCAAAGAACAAAGACCCCTTGACACATAATAATCAAACACTAACATACAGAGTAAAGAAAGAATATTAAGAGCAGCAAAGGGATAAGGCAAAGTAACATATAAAGGCAGACCTATCCAAATTTCACCTGACTTCTCCTTGGAAATTCTCAAGGCTAGAAAGTCCTGAATAGATGTTCTACAAATACTAAGAGTCCACAGATGCCAGCCCAGGCTACTATACCCAGAAAAACTCTCAATCATTGTAGACTGAAAAAACAAGATATTCAGAGACAATGCCAGATTTTCACAATACATACATACAAATCCAGGCCTACAGAAAGTTCTGGAAGGAAAACTCCAACACAAGGAAGTTAACTACACTCACAAAGACATAGGCAATAGATAATCCAATTTTACCAGAACCCAAAGATTAAAGCAGGGCAAATATATTCACAATACCACTGCCAACAACAAGTCTAAAACAAATAAGAATTAACAATCAATGGCCCTTACTTTCCCTCAACATTAATGGTCTTAACTCACATATAAAAAGACACAGGCTAACAGAATGGATATAAAGACAGAATCCATCCTTCTGCTGCATACAAGAAACACATCTAAGCTTCAAAGACAGACATTAACTCAGGGTAAAGGGATGGGAAAAGATCTTCCAATCAAATGGACCCAAGAAGCAAGCAGGTATAGCTATGCTACTATCCAACAAGTTAGACTTCAAACCAAAATCAATAAAAAGAGATGAATATGGTCATTTCATATTCATGACTGGAGAAATCCAGCAGCACAAAGTCTCAATTCTGAACATCTATGACCCAAATACAAAGGTACTCACATTCATAAAAGAAACGCTACTAAAACTCAAAGCTCACATAAAACTTTACACACTCATAGCAAAAGACTTCAACACCCCATTCTCACCACTAGACAGGACCACCAGACAGAAACTTCACAAAGAAACAATAGAACTACCAGAACATATGTCCTAATTGGGTTTAACAGACATCTATAGAACATTCCATCAAACACAAAACGATATACTTTCTACTCAGCTCCACATGGAACCTTCTCTAAACTCGACCACATACTAGGCAACATAACAAACCTCAACAGACACAAAAACAAAAATAAAAAAGGAATAGTCCCGTGTATCTTATACGACCACCATGCTTTAAAGTTGGAATTCAACAACACAAATCACAGACACCCTACAAACTCATGGAAACTGGACAATGAGCACTTGCACCATACCTAGGTCAAATAATAAAGAAAGAAAGAAATTAAAGACTTCCTAGAATTCAACGAGAATGAGGACACAACATAGATGAACTTATGGGACACCTTGGACACCTTGAAAGCAATGCTACGAGGGAAGTTCATTGCACTAAGTGCCATATAAACAAAACAGAGGATAGTCACATTAAAGAATCAACATAAAACTGAAAGCCTTAAAACACAAAGGAGCAAACTCACCCCAGAGGAGCAGACAACAGGAAATAATCAATTTGAGGGCTGAAATCAATAAAGTAGAAATGAGTAAAACAATACAAAACAATCAATGCAACAAAAAGTTGGTTTTTTGAGAAAATTAACAAACTAGACAAACCTTTATCCGAACTAACCAAAAAGCACAGAGAGAACATGCAAATTAACAAAATTAGAAATGAAAAGGGAGACATAACAACAGACACTGAGGAAATCCAGACAATTTTCAGGTCATACTTTGAAAACCTATACTCCACAAAATTCGAAAATTCAAAGGAAATGGACAAATTTCTGGATAACTATCACTTACCAAAATTAAATCAAGAACAGATAAGTAACTTAAATAGACCTACAACACCTAATGAAATAGAAGCAGTTATAAAAAATCTCCCAACCAAAAATAGCCCAGGGCCAGATGGTTTCAGTGTAGAATTCTACCAGAAAAATTAAAGAAGAGCTAATACCAATACTCTTCAAATTGTTCCACACAATAGAAGCAGAAGATTCTTTACCAAACTCTTTTTACAAGGCCACAATTACCTTGGTAATTGTGTGGTACCCAAGCCACACAAAAACACAACT